TCCCTCTCTATCATAACCTATGTAGTGTATATGTAAATTTATTCTGAGTAGAAGCAGTCCCAGAATTATATCAAATTTCTGTTTATTACTAATTTATTATACAGAATGATCACAATTAAAGAGTAAATGTTCATCACTCTGTGTAGGAAGAACTATTGGGCAATTCTCAATCAAATTTAGTATATCATACTGTCCTGATTGTATAGTTTTGATTTTCAGGAAAAATTTTTATTCAAAATTCAGCCTCTAGAATGAAATATGGCATTGCTCTCATTTTAATGTGCATATTATGTACTACATTTACTAACAAATTTCAAGAGTTAAGAAACAAAGTACAATTATTTCAATTACAGATGCAGTATGTTGAATTGGTGTTATATCAAAGATATGGCTCTGTAATAAAACCGTCCACAAAACCTTTGTATCTCCAGTTGTAAAGTTTTTTATTAGCGACCAACGTTTTTGATCTTAAACAGATCATCTTCAGGTCTGAATATACAACCGAATTAGAATGAAAAATAGAACATACTAGTTTAAAAACTTGGAACAACCAATAAATGAATACATAATGTACTTAGATATAAAATAAACTAAAATACAATAAAAATAAAAACAAAATATTGGCAATGATTTTTTAAAGCATGGCAATATTTATGTGAAAAACAATTACCCTCACTAATTGACGTTAAACGCAACTTATGAATGCAGATTATAACTGTGCATTATATTTAAATACAGTAGAGCGTCGATTTTTCGAAAGTCAATCATCCGAAACGTCAATCATCTGAAAGAATTCCAGTCGGCGAATTTAAATTTTCACCAGTGCTCTGGCGCTTCAATCTTTGGCTATGTCTTGGGCTACTCAAATATTTTACGTTTTTGATACTAAATTAACATCTGAAGTATAATTTTTTATTATTTTTATATTTTTCAATATATTTATTTTGTTTGTACAAAATAAAAAAATAATTTTTAACGATACAATAGTCTTTGTTAGGTTTAACATCAACGAAAATTCAACGCAAAGCGACACGCAACGGAGAAAAATTTTGACATTGGATATGTTAAACTATTTTTTCGTACGTAAATCAGTTATCCGGACAACCCCAGTCCCCAATTGATTCGGAAAATTGACGCTCTACTGTAATATTTTAATTTTAATTTTTATAATTTTAAAAAATTATTGTCTATATTTTGTTTTTATTTTTATTGTATTTTATTTTATTTTATATCTAAATACATTATATACATTATGTACTTGTTTATTGGTTTTTCCAATTTTTTTAAACTAGTATGTTCTATTTCACATTCTGATTTTGTTGTGTATTCGGACCTGAAGAAGAACTTTTTAAGATTGAAAATGTTAGTCCTAAAAAACTTCACAACTGAAGATACAAAGGTCAAAGGTTTTTGTGGACATTTTTTATTACAATTAGACCCAGTTCATTTGTATTGCCATAGAAGTATTCATATGGCTCTTGTGTCTTCTGCTTTAAAAACTGCATTTACTGCACAAGTTGCATCAGTTGCATAGTGGAATGCAACTGATCTGCATGATGTGTTGTACACTTGAAATTCTACCTTTTAAGACAGTTGGGTTGGAAACATTGCTTTGGTACAATATGCTCTTTAGCCCATAATCAAAAGTCATAGGGGTTCAGATACAATCATGGCAACCATGATATTGGAAATGACTAATACTAGAATGTGCATAAAATGATGTTGCAATAAAACTTGTATGCATAAGCTAATATACGGGGTGCATCATCTTTAAGTAAGGTGTTAGTATTCAGATAGTTTCTCTGCTGTAGTGCTTAAATGACAAAATTTTGGATTACTCCAAAACTCCAAAATTTGTCACAAACAAATTCCACATATATATATAGAATTTGTTGGTGACAAATTTAGTATATGTATACATACTGTCAAACACACATACAAAAATTTTACTTCAAAATTCAGCCAGTAGGGCAAAGTTTGGCATTAAGGGTATTGCTGTTCCCTTAATGTCTATATTACATGTTTTCTAATAAATATATGGAATTTGTTGGTGAATATTTTTGTCAGACCAAACATTTTGTGACTTTTTATATACAAAATTTGTTATCAATAAAAAACATGAGTAACATACACATTAAGGGAACAGCAATGCCAAATTTTGCCTTAGTGGCTGAATTTTAAAGTAAAATTTTTGTATGTATGTTTGACAGTATGTATACTAAATTTGATTGAGATTTGCCCAATAGATCTTTCTACAGAGACTAATAAAATAAAATGTTTCAACTAACATTATCTGTAGAAAGTATACAATAAAACAAAATGAACAATATTTGAAAGAAATACTTCAGTTTAATTTCTGAATTTATTAAAATTAATAGTAATTACAAATCTTAATAAAACATTTGATTTATTAATTTTTCAGTACATGTTATTTTAACAAAGGAAGATATAAAGATTTCAAAATTCATTAAGAGCTTTTAAATGCAGAACTAAATTTGTATTTAAGTTAATTATAATTTTATACATACATAAAATTATTCAAAAATCCAAGCAGGTTTTAGAACTTCTGGATGTTAAATGATTAAATAGATGATTGTAGACATTCATAAAATCAAAGATCTTAATAATTTGAACAATTTAAATGATTTATCAACAAAACGCTTTGTTGTTAATTAATTAATTTAAATTTTTTTTAATAAAATAGTAAAAAAGCATCGTTGAGAGGAAAGTTTATTGCAACTTTACATAAATAATAACATATATATATATATATATATATATAATGTTTCTAGAATTTCAGATTGTAAAATCAAATTGTGTTTGATGGAAATGAAACTTGAAAATTTGGAAGATTTAAGAATAATAATAATAAATTTGTTTTAATAGTACTTATAATATCTTAAATCTTATTAAAATTTAGGAACGTAAAGCTAATAAAGAGAAGGAGAGAGAACAACTTATAGCACAACAAGAGAAGGAAAATCTTACAGGTGCTCGAAATGTAGAAGCTGAAAAATTAAAAAAATTGCTTACAGAAAAACAATTAGCAATTTTTGAGGTAAAGTAATCTATTTTCAAATTAATTCAAATTGTTATCTTAAAATATGATATAAGTATTAAAAACCATTAATCAGTGTTAAATGTTTATAACATACTTGTAAACTTAAATGATTGTCAAAATGGTTAAACATTGATAAATTAAAATAACTTTTAAAATTTACATACAAATTTAAGATGATAGTTTTGGAATTTACTGCATTAGAAGAAAAATTACCAAATATTAGGATGTTAAATATAAATGCATTATATTCTTCTATTGTATTTGAATAATGTTTGAACATATTAACTTATAGATCTGAAATGTGCATGTTTTATGAATGTTTTGTTGGCTATTAGTAAATTTATTGCAAAAGGACTCTTGTACATTTCTTATGGATTTTGTTCTTGATGAAATTGGCTGAAATTTTAGTGTATAATGATTCTTGTCTAACTGATCAAAAGCCTCAATGGGCATGAAGTTTGAAAATACCTAGTTGTTTTTGCTAGAGGTATGTAAAAAAAGTGTATGTATAGGGTGGTAACAAAAGTCTCTCTGATAGAAGGGGTGGAGGGGTCAAAATTTGCACCATTGTTTAGCATATGCTCAATGTAGTATAAGTCAGCAAAAAGTCTGTGGTGATTGTTCTATTACTTTGAAATAATTGACTGAGAAGAGACTTTTGTTATCATCTTGTGTATACACCTCTTGTATATTTAAACAACTGTAGTAAAAAAGCTAGCTGTTTTCATACTTTGAGCCCATTGAGACTTTTGATCAGTTAGTGAAGAACTATAACAATTTCAGCCAATTTCACTGAAGGCCAAAATCTATAAGGATAGTGTGATGTCCTTTTACTTTAGTGCACATACATGTGATAATCATATGTCAATCTATATTGCCAATTATACATTATTTTTTGAGAAAATGCAGGAAAATAAAATTTTAATATCTACTTTGTCTTAAGATCAGTATATTGTTTGATCATTTTATTAAGATTCAGAGTTCTCCTTACTAGGAAGGCTTGAAAAGGCAAGGAATTTTGTAGTAGTCAAGGAAACTCATATTTTACATTAAGTTCAAGAATTCATTCATTTCTCTGGAAATTTACATACACTAAATTGATGGCTTTGGAATGAAGATTTATGGTTAAAGTTAAAAATGTTCTAAAATCATTTTGCATTTTCTGATGTTATGTGCCTGTGTACACAATATACAATAGTCTTAACCAATAATGATGATATTCTATGTACGTAAGTAGCAAATATGAAAATGAAACTTAATTAATTTAACTATCATACAGTTAATTGTTAGATTAGAAATTTTAGAAAATTGTAATTCAAAACATATTTAAGTAAGTAGATTATTTAATTTGGAATATAACATAATAATATATATTGATAGATTCCAAATAATAAATAATGCTAATATGTTTTTCTCACTGACTCTACTTATCTAAACTTTTCAAATTTATATTAAAATCATATGTGCAATTTAAACATGGTAATAATACACATTTTGTAACATTGTTTTTTGATTAATTATAAGAGAAATTTGAATAATAAAATCTTTGCCATCTGATATTAAATGCCAACTTGACATGCTTTAAACATGCTTGCAATTATTTTCAGTTTCTTTTATTGCAATACAGATTCAAATCATTAATAAATGATAAATTAAATTTTCAAAATTATAGTGAAAGTAATTGTTTTGTAAGAATAAATTACTTTTTAATTTATTTAGTAATTTTAACTATTTATTAAATAGTTAATTATTAATATCTCAGTTTTACATAATGTTTAAATGAAACAATTTAAATTAAATTAATGATTACATTAATTTCAGGTACCCTCAGATGGAAATTGGTAGGTTCATATTTCATATATTAATAATTCAAGTACATTATAAACTAATTTTAATTACATTTATATTTCAGTTTATACAAAGCAGTTGAACATCAGCTTTCATTACAGAATATAACTGTAAGTAACTTTACATGCATGAAATTATTATCTCAATGATATATTTTACAAAAGTTTTATATTTATTAGACAACAGTAGAACAACTTAGGAAGTTAACATCAGAATATATGCTTTCACATGCAGATGATTTTCTTCCTTTCTTAACTAATCGCAATACAGATGATATAATGACTATGGGTAAATATGATTTTAAGAAAAGAGTATTTTTTAAATTTTGAGAGATGTATACATTATTATTTATTAAATTTTATTTAGATGAATTTCAACATTATTGTGATGATATTGTTTATACGTCTACATGGGGTGGCCAAGTGGAAGTAAGGATTAAATTTGCCTATAATTACAAATTTACTTAGTTAAAAGTTTTATAAATTTGCACAGTTTTAGATAATTTGATACTATGTTATAGAGCTTTTATCACTAAAATTTTTTTTCTGATAATTTTGTTTATTAATAAATTTCAAATTTCATTCTTCTTGAATAGAGATTCAAAATAGATTTTTCTGTTAGACTATAAATTTACAGGTTAATTATTGATTTTGTTCTGGAGTGCAAAATTAACAATTCAGCATTTTTTCATATTGCACAATAAAAGATGCATTTCTTAGAAGCAGGGCTGTGGAGTCGCGTAAAAATCTACCGACTCCGACTTTTCCTTATCATCCGACTCCGACTCCGACTAAAACATCAAAACTCCACAACTCCGACTCCAATTCCACAGCCCTGCTTAGAAGAAAAACATAATTTTGGAAGAAATAAATATATAAATCAATCTTTTGAATAAGTGATAATCAGAACACAAATTACAAATGTTAATGAAATGGTGTAATTTCTTTATTTGATTGCACTTTGCTTGCTGACAGGCATTTTGATTCATTTAACTTTCTTTTTTATCATTATGTACTAAAATGTAACATTTAGTTGCTTCTTACTGTATATTATGTAGAGCAGTGATTCTCAACCACTGTGCCACGGCACTTTAGTATGCCGCAAGATTTTTGAAGTGCGCCGCCACTGCAAATATCCATACATAAGCAATCTCAGACAAGTAGTTTAATTGGTTCTACCTTCCTAGAGCACATTTGGAAATTGTAACCGGTGTTACAATTGCCAGTAGTTACTAAGATGTTTAGAAAATGTAACCTAAATAACCAACTGTGTTTAAAAAAATCACTGTTATGATGTCACCAGTTGTCCTGCGGTACTTAATGTAGTAATCGTGTGTGCCGCCAAAATTTTAAATTACTAAAAGTGTAACATGACGAAAAAAGGTTGATAATCACTGATGTAGAGTTTTGAATTCTAAAGCATTTTCTAAAGTATACATATTAATATTTTGGCAATTTTAGATGTTATTTATATAACAGAACTTTTTATAATTTACATTATAGTAAATTATAAGTTCTGTTAAAAACTTTTATTGAAAGTTTTATTTTAAATATACAAAGGAATATTTACAGAAGAAAAAATTTAACTTTAAGAGATTAAATATAATTTTTCATTTCCTATTTGAATTTAATAATTTGCTTTAAATCATTTTGAGAAAAGTTTAAATTTGAACTTGTGTTACAAATATTACAAAATATGTAAACAGAAAAATTGTGTTTCTGGATAGAATCTGAACCTACATTCTTTAGTTAGTTTGATAACATGCTGAATTTTCTAATCCTCAGGATAGATTCATTCTTGCCATCTAATGGAATTCTTTAATTCCTCCCTTTTGTGTACATTTGAAAGATGATCCTCATTCAGTATTATAAATTGAAAAAAATTACTAAAATACATTTATGTTTTAATAGTTAAATCAAATTTGAAAAAAAGTTAAAGCTAAAATGTTTTCTGTTTGTTGTTACTATTACTAAAGATCTTTAAAGATACAATATACAAATGATTTATTTGAGAGTTTCAGGATTTAGTGTAATCTTATATAATTTTCTTTTTAAACCCTGAATAAGTGAATAAAAGAAGTTTTCAATATACTTCAATGATAACATTAAAAATATAAAAGATTTTCCTGCTGACCAAAAATATTTTTTTCTTAATTCTATTGATTTGAATTAATTTATAAACTTAAGTACTAGATTCAAAATTTTTATTTAATTTAGATGATTTGGCATCACTAGAATGGGATTTGCCTAAAGTGTTTTTCCTAAAGATTGTTCCTTGAATTACAATCTCAAGGAAAAGCTGGCCACTTCATAACATTAATATTTTGCCAATTTAACCAAGCATGTGCTTGTATTAATGTGTAGGTTTTTAGCAAGATAGTGTCAACTTTATTCTTTTAATGCTTTGTAAATACGTGTATATGGGTCATGAGAGTGATCTTGCAGTATTGTTGATATTCGTTACTGAGTATTTTGGATGATGGAAAAGCCAATTTTAGCATTCTGGTAAAAATGAAAGCTGCATAAACCATCAAGCTTTCTCCAGAGAAATTTTTAGAAAAGAAACATGGTTTTTTATTTATTTGAACTGCAGGAATAATTTGCAAACTAATCATGCTCATCCACAGGTTGTGTTGCATAGCACCAAAATTGCCACTTGGTGATATTTTTATTAAAGTGGTGATAAAAATATAATACTGGCAATAAAAATCCTAGTCTGCTTATTTCCACATTCAGCATGAAACTGAATTACAAAGCACACTTCAGGAAAAACAGCAGAATGCCTAGCTCCCATGCACCACACACTTAGTGATTTCATGATGTCATGTGGCAAGTTTGGGCAGAAAAGTAGGAAGTAACGTTGAGAACTGAAAGCAGTTTTTGCACAATGTCGCCCAGCATTTCCAGATTGGGGATTTTTTTTGTATCGATTGACAGAAATTTGGGGAATTTTTTGGGGTGACTTTTTTCACTGATCTTTTTTACTAGACTAAAACACAAATTTTAACATGACAGAATATGTGAAATACTGTTTAAACATTGTGATCAAATGTATTATTCAAAATTATTCATTACAGAATTTTTCAAAATTGATTCCTGTTGCTAACAATGAGAGGGCCAGATATTCAGATCTTTGATTCAAATGAAACTTGGTGAGCATGTAGCCTTAAACACAAACAGTACCTTCTCCAAATATTAGGATCAGTGGATTAATATAATCCAGTGATATTAATCCACTTATCAAGCATTTCCAAAAATTTGGCCTCTAAAAATTGCAATTTTGCTTATAAGTCTGGAAATTTCACTTGTCTGAATGTGTCTGAGCGGATAAGATGCTAGGCAGTGGAGCTATCTGAACCTTCTGAATTTTAGTTCAGAAGGTTCGGATAGCTCCACTGCCTAGCATTTTTTTTTCTATATATGTAACATAATTATTTTATTGTATTATTAGCATTATTATTACTATTATTATTTTTCATGTTTAAAGCTTATAAAACAAGAGATTAAATTGTGACGTCATTTTTCCCTGTTTAGCAAAAACAAGTCTCTGTATATTTAACTCTTTTTTATATTGTTAACAAAATTTTATTGCTTCATATTTATTTTCAGATATGATGGCATTGTGACATTTGAAGTGTAACAAACATGAGTGCATGAGAAAATTTTCCATAAATTAACAATTAAAAAAATAAAACACTGCAACTATGCTACTCTATTTTTTAACACTTGTCTTTTCATCCATGTGCAGTAACCTCTGAAGCTTATTTGCTTGTAAGAACTCATTATGTAATCATGAGTGAAAATATGTGAAAATAAATGTGAACAAGTGTTTAAATTAACAAAGTAAGAGTTAAATCTACAGAGATTCATTTTCGCTAAACAGGAAAAATGCTATCACAATTTAATCTCTTGTTTTATAAGCTTTAAACATGACTAATAATAATAATAATAATGAGTGATTATTTATTGTGACATCATCACAATGCCAAGCTGCAATTTTTAATTTATTTCACTTAAAATATATGCTCTCCACCTGATATTAGTAGTATCTTGCCCCTGTACATCATACTTTTCCTTTAACAATAGTCATGCAAACTATCTATTAACTGCTTTAACCTATCAGATGGTCAAAGTTTTCTCCATTACGTGTGATGCCATGTCGAATTTTTGTCAATGTTAAGCCTAATGAAAATTACATGTTTTTGAAAAAAATAATTGTGGCTATTGTATTGTCTGAAATTATTTTTTTATTTTGCACGAACAGAATAGATATATTAATAAAAGTAATAACCAAAAAAATTTTATTTTGAAAGTTGGTTTTGATATAAAAATTATAACAACTAGCAACATCTAGTTTCAAAAACATTCCAATGCTGAAGTGAGATATCTTGGTTGAGGTCAGAGGTCACGACCCCAAGATATGTTGGGAATAACACAGGACAGGTTAAGGGGAAACTTTTGAATTGAAATAATGTGACTTCTGGTTTGCACTGGAAATTCATATGTATTCAATCAGGATCTCCTATCCCCAAGCTTTTCATATCTTGTCTCAGATTTCATCTATCTAATTCCATTCTCGAGATTAAGGAAAGATGTATAGACAGATGGATGATAGTTGGAATTGTCTAAAATGTCTAAAAATTTTTTCAAATTGCAGTCCAATGATAATGCTTATGATATAATAAAATAAGAAAATAATTATGTTACACACAAAAAAAAAACAAAACAACTAAGATTTTGAAGATTTATTGGGCAGGTACACTGCCTAGCATCTTATGTCTTATCCACTCTGTTGTCACCTCTCAGACACATGAAATTTCCAAACTTATAAACAAAACCTCAATTTTTAGAGGCCAAATTTTTGAAATGCTTGAGAAGTGAATCCTAATATTTGGACAAGGAACAGTTTGTGTTTGAGACTACATGCTAACCAAGTTTTGTTCGAATCAGAGACCCAAACATCTGGCCCTCTTCTTATAAGTGACAGCTTAAATATTTTGCTTTCCAGATGCCAAATTGATAAGGCCACCAGCAGTTGCATTAAGTAAAACTGTTGGCAATAAATAATTTGAAGTGGCAAAAAAAATTTAAAACTGGCAAAATAGTGGCAATATTTTAAAATTTTCCAGAGAAACCCCTGCCCATCTAAATTAAACGTTTCCTCATCACTTAATATCACTTGAAACAAAAATTTCTTGTTGTTCTGTTGTAATGCCGCAACATTAACATAAGAAGGTGATTCCATTTGTGTTGTTGACTTTGGTGCTGTTTTCCAATTCTCGCTCATGTTCCCTTGACAAATTCAACCTAGCTGCCTTCTGGTTAGGTGTCAGACACTTTCTATTTTGTTATACTAAATTCTTATTTTGTTTAATTGTTCTAAGAATGAAATATTTCGAAACAGTTACATGAAGTACTTGAAAACTGCAAATGAATTTGAAACATTCAAATTCATTTGCAGTTTTCATTGTATTTGATATTGCTCTGTTGATCCAGTATTCGTGTGTCTGACTGTTGTGGGACATCTTACGTGTTTTTAAAACTATAACTATGTTGTTTTGTTACAAATTTTTATATTGTTCCAGTTTATCTCTTTCTAGCTGATCATAATACTGTAATTTGATCTGCAGGTATCCTTTGATTAACACAGTTAATTAATCCCTCAATGCTACTGCATATATCAAAATTGCATTAATCAAATACATTGGTACCTCGGTACTTGACCGAACAATCACCACATGCTAGAACAAATTTTCAATTAATAACAAATATTTTTATTTTTAGCAAATTTGATATTTTCATTTATTAACTCCTTATTTGCCCAGAAAACATATCTATGTTAATGCAGTTTTAACAGCTACCTTTACTTAATTAAAATATCTGCAGTGTATAAAAAGTAGGGTTTGGGAAGTCTCGACATTCTCAAAGTCCTGGAACATGAGAGAACCCACAATCAAAATCCCGGGACTTCGAGACTTCTCAGAATAAAATTAGAATTGAGTTTATTTTTGGCGAGATGTATCAATAAAAAAGCAATTTTAGTAAAAATCAACATTTATTGAACATAAAATCAAATTCTAACATTTATAACACTAATTAAAGTCTAAACAGTTGGTATGTTTAATTCTTATAAACATAGATTCATTTTTTGGCAGTGAAATCTTAAAATTATAAAACCAACTTAGTAATCATACTAATCATTAATAATCATCAACTAGTTTCTATTCATTAGTCATATAAATAATATAATGAACTAGCAATTAGACATCTTTTCTGATTTAATAAAATAGGCATTTAAAAACATCAGAGCATTTACAGTTTGTCCGACAATCTGTTTCTGATTTTTGTAATAATACCTCCTGACAAGGAGAACACTCTGGTTTTCAACAGATGTCAGTTTTATCATGTTTAAAGCTTTATAAAGTAGTTCCAAACTTTCAGTACATTTTCTGGTTTCTTCAAATAACTGGAACTCCTTTTTTAATGCTGCTCTTGATCTTTTTGCAAAAATTTCGGATACATTTTCTTTGATTTTTTTGATTGCCTGTTCCATTTGACTTTGAAATGACTCATCGGGTTCGTTGTGTACTGTAGAGCTACTGGTACTGGGTTCGGTGTCCATTATTTCCAAATCTGGCGTTTGGATACAAGGGATATTTTCAAAAAGTCTATAATGCAGATCTTCCGCAAAAGCAATAAGTGCAATTTTATTCAAAATCGAAGTAAACAAAATCTGTATGTTGCGACTGTGAGTTGTGGTGGCCAGTGTGCAAATATTTTAACAAACATTTAACAGAGTAAGGTTAAAAGTCACATGGCCCTGTAAATTACCCCCACCTGCATTGTTTATTTGTAAACAGGAGGGAGAACAAAGGAAGCATTGCTCAGCTAACCTTTTGAAAATAAAATTTCGATAAGTGTGTCTCGAGTCTTGACCTGAGTGTCCCAGGACCCGAGACAATTAAATTTAGAAAAAGTCCCGGGACTTTGAGACACAAGACGTCCCGGGACGCAAACCCTAATAAAAAGGGATTGCTGCAATTAATTTCACATGTTAAGCAAAGGATACTTGTATTTTAATATCCAAAAGCTTTCCTTTTCATAAGGCTTTTTTTTTTCAAATAAGACAGTTTTCTTGCTTTAATAACATGTAGTGTCATTTTTATATTCAAATTTTTCCAATGCTGATATCACCCTGTAACAATTTCTTATTTAAAATCTTAAACAAATGTCTTCTTTTTCTAAGTTAATTAAAGATATAGTCTGTCCAAAAAAATATCCAATTATAATTTTTAATTGGATATTTTCTGTTTTTTTTTTTTTAAGGAATGTTTTAACCTGACAGCCAAGTAACCTCTAAAGCAGTGTTTCTCAACCTCTAATGAATCGTTGCCCCCTTCAACGTAGTATCACCCCCTTCACTACAAAATACCGATGTCAAGGGCCAAGACTAACGCCAAATTCGTACTGCATTGAATAGACTAGTGACTAGTATAATGTTATTTGTTTAATTATTGTACGATATAACAAATAAAATAGCTAATTATTCTTAATATAACATTTTACTATATCGCCCAGAAAATTGTTTTTCTCCCCCCAAAATTTAAATTGTTACTAATACATGTGGGTGTTTTTCCCTCAACATGGAAAAACACCCACATGGGGGTGATATTGCCCCCGTTGAGAAACACTGCTCTAAAGAAAGGTCCTGTCATCAAAGGTGTATTCTAGAACATATGATAAGAATAAATGGTGGTTACCAAGAATTTTTTTGGACAGACTGTGTCTTTAATTAACTTACAAAAATTTGCCTTATGACAAAATTCTACAAGTCTTTTTTTTCTCTTTATCTTATGTCTAGTTTGTCCTTCTGATTTATTGAAGACTCAATGTTTTTTACAGAGAAATTTATTTTTCAGGAGAATTTGCTAACCAGTAGTTTTTATTTTATAATTTAGTAAAATTAGTTTGTATTGCAGTTAAAAAAAATAGCTAAAAATTCTCTGCTGAAGTTTACTTTTAATAGTATAAATACTTTATTTAGCTTTGTAGTTATTTTTTTTCTTATATATTTATTTATGCTGATTATAAACTAATTTTACATTTTTCTGTTGTAATAGTATAAATTTAAAATTTTTAGCTCAGTGCACTCTCTCATATATATAAAGTACCTATTGAAATAATTCAAGCAGATGGTCCACAGTTAGTTATTGGAGAAGAATATGAAAAATCTCCTCTAGTACTCTGGTAAGGAATAATACATATATAATAATAATTCAAACTTAAGCAATGTTATAACTAACAACGAATATTTTACAGTTATCATAGACATATTTATGGACTCGGAGAACATTATAATTCCACAATAGCAAGAGAAGATAATCCTGAAAATGCAGAATCATGACAGTAATCTTATTTTAAATTTATTCTTGTCTGTATTAATATTGACAAATTGAAATATGATCTTGTATTGAATTACAACATGCATTTAAAAAATTAACATAAATAAAAATAATAATGTAAAATTATTACATATCAATTTAATATCAGTGTTATTACACTAACAACAGTGTGAACTTTGACAAAATTTTGTGATATAACAAAGCAATATGTAAGTTGCAAAACTTCTTTTTATTGAGTATTTGGAAATGAATAATGTAACTGAAATTACACAATAGTAACATGCTAAGATGATTCTTCTGATGAATCATTCCATAAAGAAATTTAAAGTTATTTGTAATATGAATTATGGATTATAAAATATGTTATATGCAATAATACAAAAATGTCTGATATATTTTTAAACTTTCATAAACAAAATTTATTATTGTGTGATATTCAAAATCTTAAAATTTTATTATTTTCTTTGCTAATGAATATCCAAATATAAGAATTAGTCTTAATTTTGTAAATCCATAAATTATTCCATAGGTAGAAACTCAAATTAAGACATTCTTGTGTAAAGATTAATTAGAAATTAATTTTGAATTTATTAATTCTAGAACAAATAATTGAGCTCATGCTGTAATCCAGTAGAATAGTTATAGCCTGAAATAGAATCTGGCAGTTTGGTTAATCATATATATATATATACAGTAAAGCATCGATTATTCGAATATAGATCAACCAAAAGTGTTCCAGTCAGCAAATTTAAATTTCTGCTAGTGCTGTGGTGCTGCAATATTTGGCTATGTCTTGGGCTACTCCAATATTATTTTTGTTGGTGTGCGTGTTTTAGCTGGCAGCACTGGCACAACCATGAGAGGGTACTTAAGGATGCGCCAGGATTTGAACGAATTTTAACATGGGATAGGTTAATATATTTTTCGTACCTAATTGTTTATCTGAACAACCCCAGTCCCGAATTGTTTTGGATAATCAGTGCTCTACTGTATGTTCTTAAAACTTGTGAGAGACCATTCATGCAAATGTTATTAATCATCCAATGATATTTCCTATATTTTCCATGTACATTGTGCATGCTGACAATTCTAACAAAAATGGCATTATTTTATTTACTTTGAGATTAAAAATTTTTTATATAATTATTTTGGCCTTCTGTTTACGATATCCACTTGACATCTATCCAGCTTGATTACATTAGGATTGTTGTGGCCTTTGGTAAGCACAAATATACCAGATATGTTGCCATGATATGCAACCAGCATAACATGCAGAGGATGGTGCAACACAATTTTACATTTACAGAATGATGAACTACAATTCCTTCATCACATTGTATGAATTGACAAAGCACTGTATTCCTAGAATGGAGTATATAACTATTATAATGTTACAGCATGCTTCACAATGCATGTAACAAACATTGTCAACACCAGATGTGTTTGTAGTCTGGGGTGGAATTTGAGGTAAGCAGCTGCTTGGTCACCTAAAATTCACTGTTCCATTGGTAACCAATATCTGATAGTCAAAAGAACTTTATAATGGTTATCTAATAATGTGGTGGTGGTACTCCATCTTGCTGAAATACATGTTGGGAATGACAGACTAAATGCTGTCTCACAGTAAACAATTCTCATTAGTTTTTCCAACAAACATGAAGGGTTCACAGAATAGCTATTGAAATCTTGCTCTATTGGAAACTAATTCTTGTACATAGGAACTCAAAAGGTTTGATTACATGTTTCAAATACTGCATATTGATTTTTTTTATTACTAAAATTGTTTCTTCATAGTTTCACAAAGAATAAAATAAAAAATAAGTTTTAACTGATATCTAAAAATGAGTTTTACATCAGATTTGATATCAACATTTGTTTTCAATGTTGGAACCACTATTCTCTTGTGGCACAGTATTATCAAGTCTACCTGTTTATACCTAATACAGCAAGGATATGCTAGAACAAATGATGCTACAAATGCAACTGACATAGTATGTGCATGACATGTCAAGATTTTTCCACTTTGATGAGAGCATTAGTTATTGAATACCATCTAGCCCATGGGTGACAAACCTATGGAATGCAAGGAGAAATCATCTGGCACATATATGATTTTGATTTATCATCTGTTGTCTTTTTCAATCATCCTTTTTTCTATCAGTATTTTTACATTTATTCTAATTAAAGAATACTCATGTTATTTAAATATCGTTATTTGAAGTTTAAAACTTTGGCACACAAACCTCTTTAATGGATTAGCCAGTCACAGTCAGCAATGAAAATGCCAACATACAATTAAAACTACACAGTGAAATTTATATATGAATATTTAGTTCCAATAGTCATACAGAACATATAGACAAACTAACACAACTGATTGAAAATGAGAAATTTGTCAAAACTTACTTTAAAATGCCAAGAGTCAATTTGCATGTAAGAACAAGATCATTATTTTAGGAGCAAAACATTAAAATTTTGGATTGTGTGTCTTGCATAGGTGTAATTTTATATAATACCATCTTCAACTTCGTTCTCTTGAAAACACAAAACAGATCTTATAGATCACATTTCACAAACTTGAGATTTAAGTTATCTCTGGCTAATCCATAATGATGCATTCTCTATTTGAGAGTTTAAGTAGTATTTGAAAATTTCAAAAAGTTATAAACACTTTAGTCACTCAAGATAAGTTTGACAGTGATGATTTTCAATGCTATCTAAGTTTTGCACAAAATAGTGCTTTAGTTCCTCCTTAATATAAAGTTATTACATTAATAGTACAAATATTTAAGACTACTTAGAGAAAAAAGGGTACAAATATCAGCAAAAGTGTGTAGCTTGCATGTTCATATTTTCAATTTTTCTCTGTTCTGCCCCATGGATTTGTTAAGATCACATTACATGACAAACCACCCAGCCATTCAGATATATAGAAAGAAAAAAAAAAATTATTGGATTTTAAGAGACAAAATATTAAATTCATAACTGCTGCAAAATAAGAGAAAATATTTTAATGAATTAATATTTAAAAAAGAAACATTAAATTTGTGTATAATTAAAAACAAACACTTAGGAAAACAGAAAAGGAGAATTAAATGAAACTCAAAATCTGCAACACACCATGCTGTGGTAGGCCTTAAGCTTTTCAGACAAACTTCAAAAGAAATACATTGATGAAAAAGTAGTTTCTACTTTTTCATCAATGTATTTCTTTTGAAGATTATCACTTAAAAGCAGTTTTTTGGATGAATAAACGTTAGATGAACATCTAACTTGAAGAAAATGAAGCACTTAAATCTTATGCTGTTGAGACCTAACATCTCAAACTTGAATTTCCTCAACTCAAATTTTCTGCAAGTTAAAGGTTTGTGGTCTCCGACACTGATTTATGTTACTTTCAACTTCCCTTACTCAAATTTTAATATTTATCAGTGTTCCTAATTATCAGATTTCTATGAAATTTTCAGTTGTGTCTACTGTCCAAAGTGAGAGGTCCTCTCACTATGTCAACAAGACGTTACTGTACCTGCAAAACTGTTCAATCCTGTTAATTACATTGAACAGTTTGCTGAAAAGCATTGCATGGGCTGTTTAAAACAAACAAAACTATCAGATTCTTTACATAATGCAAGAGGTAAAAATACAGATGTATTTAGAACTGACATTTTTCACTCTCATCTGTAACTGACCTGCAACAGAGATACAGTAGTTTTCTCCCCACTCCTTAGAGCTTATATATACAGTAAACCTCTAACTGATTAGTATTCAAGAAGAGTTCTTTCTGAGTTCAAGTAGTACTCAGAAACAGTTTATATAAATAATACATCTGAAATTAACTGAGTTCTTGAACTCAGGTGAACATTGGATTTGAAGGACATAATTTAGTTTATTTGTCCAAAAACCCTTTTTAAGTGGTTAAAAAAAGTAACTGAGTACATCCAGCTAATATTGCTAATTTTTCCATCTTATTAAAAGTGTTTTCTTCTTGCATATTCATGTTAATAGCTTTACCTGCTTATAAAAGGCAATGCAATGTACACAATAAGTGCATGTAGGAAATTTTGTTCTTCCCTTGTCAGTAATTTTTATAGTCTAAAAATAAGTTTTGTATCAAACCATTTCTTTTGAGGACTATACAGGTTTTTTCTCTGCTTTCTATCTGCTTGGTGAAATAATTTTGCTCATTTTGTTGTTTTCACATCTCAAAGATTCATATTCATTTACAAATTCCCCTGCCATAATGGGGATTTATGATTACTCTTACCAGTATTTAAATTAACTCTATTAATCCTTCATAAAAAAATAGACAACCCCAAAGTCTGCGCCAGATTCAGATTGTGCTGTACAATGATACAGCAGAAACATTTACAATTACCTGGGCAGCCCTACTTCAGTATTTTGTTCTAATCCTTCTAAAACTTTTTTAATACAGAAATTTATTCTTGGGTCTTATCTTCACAATATTTGAAATGCTATTCTGAATTGTCATTTCAGGAGCTGCAGTTTTATTTGATGGATAAGAAGTTGTAAGTAAACTAACAAATAAATTTTTTGTTTGATATATCTTCCAAGGTAAGGATTGTAACTAAAAGATGAATTCATTTAATAGATGAACTGACTTAATTTCAGACAATTGAAATATAGGAATTTAAATGTATATTTTGTAAATTGAATATTTGAACTACTGAGAAATACAATGTTGAACAGTAAAAATTATATTAACCACTTTAATTTCTAATCTTTTTGGCTGCATTGAATATTTGTGCAATTTAGAATTTACAATCAGTTTTACGTCATACATTTAACTTTCCAAGTAAACTGAAAATTGTAAGACAATTATTCAAAAGATTTTTAAAATAGTTTTGGAGACAAAGCATTTTAATATTCTTTTAATGTCATTTTTTAATTAAAAAAAATTGTATTTAAGGCTTAAGAAAACTGATTTTTATACAAGATGGTTATATTTAAGAATTCAGGTGGTGCTACAACTTGCAAATAATTTTAATATATATTTTATAATAAATAACTTAGACATTATAATTGAAATAATTTATTATTCATTGTTAGAATAACATATTTAACTTCAGAAACAATCATCAGAATATATATCTTGTTTGCAATGAAAAGTAATTAAAAATAAATTGTAAATTGGACAATTTTATGGATTATACAAAAAAGGTTAGAAAATTATGGAATGAATTTGTTGCCTGTTTTTTTTCTTTATCAAATTTTATACAAATATCTAAATAGTTAATGCTCTTAAATGTTCAATGAATAAAATTTTTGTTTAACATCATCTACCTTAAAATTTATTTTATGATTGACTTTTAAAATATTTGTAAGAATTTATTAAGGAAAAAGATAAATCTACTTTCACACGAATGTGAGATAAAAATGTTATCCAGAGATTAAGTATATCTTAGATAAAAAAAATTTGATAAACTGATTATTTTAAATTAAAAATAATTTCGGTTTTAAAATTTGTTTTGATTTGAAAAACATTCTTGTACAGTTGTATATTGCACTGTCACAAATTGAGCTACTTCTATCAGTATAAATTGAATTACTGATGATGATTGCTGTACATAGTGTAATGTGAGTAAATAAATTTTTAGGATTTCCATCTGGTGACCAAAAATATTTTTGAAGTTGTACTTAAGAAAATATCAAAAATAAATATGATTAAAAATCACTACAAGTAGAAATCCTGAAAATTTTCAAATATGAAGTTGGCTTTTATATCACAAGTGAATTTCTTGCAAAAAGTCTATTTAGAAAAGAATCAAGTGCAAAAAGTTCTTTAACATATTTTAAAAAATTGATTAAAGTTCGTTTCTTTTTAGCAAAGTAGGAATTATTTGAATTATTTAGAAATTTTTAGAAAGACAACTGTGAAAATAAATGGAAAGTGTCTACAAAAAGTTTTCTAAGTCCATACAAATATTATAAAAATATTTTAGAAATTGAAAAATATATAAAACGTGGAACGTATCTTAGTATTCCATTGTATAAAAATGATACTTCTGCTGCATTAAAGCACATCACAACATAAAACTGTTCAGCAAATAAGCTGATTATAATGAGAAAAAAAAAAATCTTTCAACATAAATTATTTCGATTAATTTAAAAATGATACAGGATTGAGACGTAAAATTCAAAAAGTATCACGAATTCTTTTCTTTCTATTTAAATAAGGGATGGCATTTAGCTTTTAATGTAATAGACCAAAACTCCTGTCCCTAAAAGTAATATTAAACCACCTATAGAATATTTTATTAAAGATTTTCGACGTGACCAAGCTTCTGCCTCCTGCTGTTTCCTTCTGATCTTTTGAATCAATTGGTTTGTTTTCTTGATTCGTTCTTCTCTATTTCGTTTCCGTAATTGTGAATATTCACTGTAAAAAATTTATAAATTTAGAATTTATACTCAAATTTTATTTAATTATAACAAAATAAAAATTTTTTTAAACAAACCTTTCTTCTGTTGAAATTGTAGATTGTGGTTTAAGACTCTTTGTCTCAACAGTAGCATTCAAATGACTGCCTGCAGAATTCTCTATTGCTTTGGTGGTTGGATTTTCTGTTTCTGGAGGAGATTTGACTGACACGGGAGATAAATCTGATTTAAGTCGAGGAGGTAGTGGTGGAGGTTCAACTATTTCGTATTCTTTATCATTAATACCTTCAGATATATCCGATTCAATTTCCTCATTATCTCCTTCTGACATTGGCTGATGAGATTCTTGAGTGTCATCATTTTCATCTTTATTTACTAAATTATCTTCATCCTGTAAAAACAAAATTTGTCAAAAAATCATCATCATTTGTTTAACATTATTTGTAATTTTGTATTAATATAGCTGATTTTTCAAGTTGTTGCTAATAAATTATTTTAATAGAAAGAAAAACTTTTCAGAATATAACCTTAATTCTCTTAATCTTATGTTTATGAACATAAAGTGTAGAAAAATAAATAGAAAGTAAGGCAATTATTGTGAAAACTATTAAAAATGTTTCCATTCTGAGAATGTGACAATATTCATTTTAGAATAAGAATGTGCATGAAAAAAATTCTGAAGAAAAATGAAAAATAATGGACCATTCCTAGTAGAGGCTTTTCATTAAAAACAGCATTAATATGTAACAATTTCAGAATTTATCAGTAAACGTAACACATTTTTTAAAAATGTAAAAGTTGAAAAATACCTTTTTATTATCAATATTTTCATTAGAATTTAATGAATTTGCAATTTGTTTTTTATTATTTTCTCTATTTAATATTTTCTTTGCTCCTTCAATGATTGCTAAGTAAGAGAATCTTAACTGATCTGGTGTTTGAATTAAACCCATTCTATAACGTCGCATTTCCAGTAAAATTTCTTGAATGTTCACTGAATTTGAATCTCCACTTTCTTCAATCTGTTAAAAAATAAATTACATACATGCTTAAATGGTTTTCTTGAATTTATTACATATATTACAATTTTTAAACTATAAGAAACATTAGTATTAAAAATAATTTTGCACAACATGGTAATTTTCCACTCTGATGTCATGGAGATCTTATAATTGCCACAAGAGGTAATCATGACAAATGTTTGTCAGTTATTCATGACTGACAGCAAGTTCTTACAGCCTTGAACACCCATCTCCATGAGATGGTCATAGTGTCTCAGGTTAACATTTTAAATGTTTTTTCATGCCCAAAAAATACAGATAACAATTTTCTGATTCTTCCAAGAAACAACTTAGCTCTACCATCATTTATTTCTAGCTGAACTTGTTTCACATTAAACCACACTATCACAAATTCTGAAGAACTCTTTAAGGGAGCCCGATCAAGGATATTCATTGTTCTGTAAACAAAATAATACCTTGTAAACTGAACAATATATGATGTTGAAATTGACAACTGCAGATAAGACACATTACAAGAATTTTCATAATTGCCAAATTCAAGGAACAGCAATTGTGTGTGAAAAATCAGCAGAAACCACTGCCTTACACATGTTAACATGGATAAGGCAGTGATTTTCATTTGAACATGTTAAAATATTGCCTGTGATTATGTTAAAAAATGGAATTTTGAACACTTTCAAAATGAAAATTTGTTAAACTATTAGAAGCTTAAAGCTTTATTATTCTTTTCACCAAAATTGAAAAATAATTTGATTATTAGTGAGGTGAGGCTGAAGTTTTAAATGCGAAAATGCATACGCCGGACGTTCAGCGCCGCCTTCCTGTAAGCCTAGAAGTTTGACAATGGTGTTTGGATAGTCAGTGGAATCATGCTCGACATTCCAAACACCACTGTCAAACTTCTAGGCTTACAGGAAAGCGGAGCTGAATGTCCTGCATACACGTTTTTGCATTTAAAACTTCGGCCTCAACCTCGCTATTATAATTGCATTGAAAAACTATCATAACATATGTTTCCTTCAATGAACCATTCAAATATGCAGCAGCAGCACTGATTTACATATTCTTGTAATCCGCTAATATTCATTCAACACAAAATTTCACCAATAAAGATTTTTATGTAAGACTTATAATAAAGTACTCTTAAGATATTATTTATAAAAACATGTATACGTAAGAATTATAAATTGCAGTAGGAATAATTTTGCTAGAGAGAAAGTAGATAATTTATCTGAGCTGAATTATAGTAAAACTCTGAAATCCAAACCTATGCAAATCCAGACATTTTTCAACAATCCTGATCAAAATCTATGTTTTACTAAAAACTGCATCTTTGGAAATTTGGACTCCCATGATTCAAGATCAAGACAATTAATTTGAAGTCCTATATAACTTCAAATATATTCCAAAATCAAGACTTTTCATATACTTGTAAATGTCTGTTGACAGCTTACTTTGAATTAACATGTTAATTGTTTACATTTAAATCTATTGTATATTGTTCAGGAAAGTATTTTGAAATCTAAGTAATTATAAAAATAAAAATAATAGTATAAGTAAATATCAATTTTTCATAGCCTCTTTCACATTCTAAACATTAACAAAAAAATTTGAAATATTTAATGTTTCAGATGAATTTCTTTACTTGATTTTGATATAATACAATACAATATTGTATTATTACTAAGTATGAAATGAAAAATTATTGCAATCACCCAAAAACACACTTGTATTGTCTTTTGTATGAACAGCATTCAGTTTCTTACGTATTGCCACCACATAGAAACTGGATAAATGTTGTAACTGAATCTAGCCAAAGACATCCTTGGAGAATGTACCAAGTAACCACATAAAAGACATTTATTTTATTAGCTAAAGAATCAGCTAATGGAATAGATGTCTTGTTGTGGTTACTTGGTATGTTCTCATAGGGGGATGCCAATTATAGGAAATTATTCAGAAATACTTTGTAAATACTGGTTTTGAAGAAATTGAAAATGTTATTAGTGATGATATTGCCACAAAGTTTAATATCATAGGACACATTGCAGAGATAATGGAATCAGCATCCAGTGTAACTATTAAATATTTTGTAGAATTTGACAATTTAACTGGCTCTATATTTTACATCATCTATCAATGGGCATTATCATTATAATGTCCAAAAATTCTTAATACTTACCAAAAGAGAAGTTGTCATGTCAGAAATTGGCATGCCAACTGAAGGTGAGATTATTAACATTTTCTTTGCAATTAAAAAATAGATGCAAACAAAGGCACTTCATTTATATAATGAGATGTGCAATGTTGTTTATTTAGATTAAAAATGTCAAGAAAGCCTAAAATAAAATAGTATTTTATGAAGTAGCAAAATATTTGTCTGAAATGAATTCCCAAGAAATTTACTTCTAAAATACAGAACCTCTGTACAACTAAACACCATTTCTTTATTCCCTCAGTGTCCAGATTTCATGGTTTCGCTATAATTACAAAAATTTTCAATATGAAAAAAAAAATTATCTGAATTCATTCAGATAAACTGACTTAACTATGATTTAGAATCATAAAAAAATGTTTTTAAAAATGCTCATAGAAAAGTTCTATTACCAAAAACTTAATCAAAACTGAAAGATGTAATAAATCAATAATTTCAAATCTAATATTTATAGAAACCATAATTATTGTTCAATTTAAAAGGATGTTTACAGATACTTATTAAAATACCAATAAAAACATGTTATAGTTAAAATATTCTTAGAGCAAACTGGATGCGAGACAATGAAATTCAAAAACACATCTTATTGACTTCCAATAGTGGATTTTTAATACAATAAAAATGTTTGACCTATTCATTAGGACTCTCAATTAGAATCTACATAAATGGAACAAACTAACTGAGAATTAAGTAAATGTTTTCATGGGTCAAAAACATTTTTATTGTATTAAACCCAGTGCTGAAAGTCAATAAAAACATGTTATATAAAATAAAGCCATAGTAGTAAAGACAATTGATGATGCAGAAAAACTTCCTAATATGTAATAAAATAAATAATAATAATAAGGGCCAATATTCAAAAAAACTTTTATTCAAATAAATATATTTTTGTTCGTTTGTTGTGAAATCATATTGTAATATTTTCGTTAGAAGTGTTGAACACTAGATCGTGTTTTTAAAAGCAATCATGTGGCTTATTCTCCACCTTTTACTTAGTTGAATGAAAGTAGTGGTATTTCAACGGCGGCCCCGAGGAGGACCTCCCACTTATTTTTTTGATGGTCAGAATTTACACAATTACATAGCGTAGTTTCATGGCCTCTGATGGTGTTTTTAATAAAATTATTTTAAATATTTAAAAGAAAAAAAATTTTAATCTATAATATATTTAGCCAGTTTTTATTTATGTTTATGCTTACGTTTTTATTTATACAATTTTTTGAATTGAGTATGGCAGACTTTCTTTGAATTTTCTATTATGTGTTTCTTTCTTTGTATAGGATTTTGGTGTTCTCTTTATCAATATTACAATTATTTATGAGGCAACGATCGTGGAAGACAGACTGCATTTGGTGATATTTCATATCTGATATATGTTCTTTTAATCATATTTTTAGTTTCTGTTTTGTTTCTCCAATATAGACATTCAATTAAATTAAAGGTGAAGAATAAGCCATGTGATTGTTTTTAAAAACACGATCTAGTGTTCAACACTTCTAACGTAAATATATTTTTTTCTTTTACAATTAAATAATGTGGCTTAAAGCTATTCTAAAAATGATTTTTCTTATTTGATAAAGTATTGCAAATAGTATATAATATATAATATTAATTTTATATTAAAAAAACACACTGAAAAAGGAAATTATATTTAAACAAAAATACTTACTAAAACAAGACAGGAATCAACAAGACAAAAGGTTCCAGAGCGTCCAATACCAGCACTACAATGCACAATGGGAGGACCAACATCAGTGTTCAGAGCACCCGATTCTCGAACAGCCATCAGAAAATTTAGAAAAGCCGCAGGAGATTCTGGTACACCAAAATCAGGCCATGTTGTGTAATGAAAATGAAGAACAATTCTAGATTGTCCACTCTAAAAATATATTAAAAGTTAAGTTTAAACAAATATATTTTGTAAGATAAATCTAGTATTGCTATTTGAAATACTGTTTATAAAAAACAGTATTTCAAATAGTGATACCAGAGGATCAATAAATAACAAGGCAAAACTTACACTGTTGTAAAGAAATTTTACAACAAAATGATTTGTTAAAGTAACTCACTTATATGTATATAATAGTTTCTTAATCCCAAATACTGTTACTTATTCTAATAATTAGCATAACTGCAACATGAAAAAAGTTATAGACAGTGCAGTGTGCTGTTCATTAGAATAAATACATGTTACCTTTTAGAAAAACATTTAAATAGTTCAGTTTGCATTTACTTGGATATCAGGGTCATTAAATTGTGAAAAAATGTACACACCAGTTAAACCTGTTTAATTTAAACTTATCCAATAATTTGAATCAATTGTTGTTTCCTTTAAATTTCAAATTTGAATTACTATTTAAAAAAATAATTAATTAGATTTTTTTTATTAAGCATTTAGATAATTCAAAGCTAGTACCTCTCATACTTTGAAAATGAGAACTAAAAAAAAGAAAATAGTATGCAATTAACCAATTTACAAAATGCTCGTATGTTAGGTGTTGTGAAAGAAAGAGTGTATTTGCACATGCAAGCATGTTTCTGGTGTGTGGTTGAAATTATCGTGTTTCACAGTTTCGGTGACATTATGTCTAGATAACAAATATTTTTTTTAACAATACTTAAACACAAATTTGTGAGATAAGCAGTGGGTCACTGGTTAAGTCCCAATTTACCACTTACTCTGCACAGGCTGGTAAAACCCGATCTTGGGGTTGTTGGATGGCTAGGAGGGCAAATCGAGTGGGGAGTGCATCGGTAAGTCGGCAGGCGTCCTTGATTGACAGGAGACAGGTTAACAAAATAACAAAGCATTTATTGAATCAACAAATCTAAATTCTACAAGAGGCAAACTTACTACTAAGGTTAAATGCGGTTATATTAAAATATTTACAGAATATGGCGACTAATTTCGTAGCTATGTCACTGACCTAATTTCTAGTTCGAGAGAGCACTTTTACAAATTATAACCCCTAAATATCTCTCAGTGGAAGGAAGAGTTGGCGAACGTAGTCTGTTTCGTCTGGGTGCGGTGTCTTCCGTGTCTTCTATCCTCTCTCTGTAGCTGGATCAAGTCCGCTGTATGGAGGTTTGGGAGTCGAGGTGGGCACTATCACAAAGTATAACTTCTTATGACGAATTGCCCTGAGCTTCCGGAAATTCGAGCTTTTATGTCATTAGCGTGGGAAAACTGTCACGTGATTGACTTTTGTTGACAATGATGGTGCATTCTTCACACCTAACTGTAAACTTCCTCAGCTAGTTGTTATACAATTGGTGAAATCCGATCTAGTTCAAATTATTCGGGTTTTTTCCGAAGACAATTAACAGAAAATTTGGATTTTTAAAAAGCCCGTAAAAATCTGCGAGCTCACAAATTTATCTGTAAATTAATCATGTCAACCTTTTAAACTAAAGGTGTAAAAAAAGAAAAAAAAACCATTAGCAAAGGAACATGGAATATTGATGAATATAAATGTTGTTTGGACACTCCTTTTCTGCATCCCCAATAGCATTACACACACCTCTTCACTTAATGACCTACCTGTTTAATGACTGCTCTGACTTACAACCAGCTCTCCAGTGCAGGGAATCCCCCTTTTCAGCCTGAATCTCAGGAATCTCCTTTCTTAGTCTCATTCCTGCAGTATTTACTACATGAAGTATTCACAATCTCCAAGACTACATATTTTGTTTATAAATTTTTACTTTATTGTGCACCCCCATACAAGATGCTGGCAAAGATGCTGGATGCTCCAGATGATGACTTCATCTGGAGGAAGCACCAAGGATTGAAGAAAGATTATTGATTTTGAGATAAAAATGATTACTATAAATAACTATGAACTGATAAAAAAAACCAAGTTATAGCATGTGACCTGAAAGACAGAGGTAGTGTGAAAGAGGCAGTGAAAGTGTCAACAGAATTTAAAGCCATAAAAATTAAACAAAAAAACACCTCATTCATGAAATGGAGAAATTACTCTGATAGATACAAAAAGAATGCCAATAAGCCTTTTAATAATTCAAGCCAAGGCTCATAGTATCTGAGGATTTTGAAGGAGAGTGAAGATGAAAAATTGACAAACATTTAGGCAAGCCATGGATGGTTTCAACAGTTTTGTTCAACCTACATAATTGAAGTATCAGCAATTATGCAGTGAGGTGCACACTTAGAAGCAGTGGCAATATTTTTCGACCAATTTTATGAAATTATCATGATGAACGAAGCTAGACTTTTTTGGGGAATGCCCAAAAGGTCCTACATATAAAGAAGCCAAAACAATGTCTGTTACAAGGTTTTCAAGGTTTTAAGTGCTTACTTTCTTTTTATAGAGTAACTAATTTTTTTGATACATTAGTTTTTAATTGTTGCAGATTGTATTTTTATGTTCTGCAGTAAGAGATGAAAGTTAAAACAAACTTATCAAAGTGGAGTTTCCTTTAGACCTTTTCTTTACCCAGAATAAATAAGAACAATTAAGCTCCTCATTTATTGACCAATTTGCTTAACAACCAAGTCCAAGAATGGAACTCTGTCATTAAGTGAGGAGTGTCTGTATTCTAATCTCTTTTGAACAAATGCTTCATTCTTCATTTAAATTACCATTCAAAAACTAATTATATCCAGCAAAATATTGTTCTAAAAAAATTGTTAAATTTCAAATAACTAGAGAAAATAAAGTAGCGTGAGATCTGGAATTTTTAAGGGATATTTCATCTAATTTTCACAAAATTTTAACTTAATGTCTTAACACCATTTTTAAATCAACATCTCTGGAAAAGGGATAGAATGTCATCCTTACCTCCAGAAAAGGGATAGTGAACTTTTAAGTCAACTGTATTTTTTTCATACCTGCAACGTTAGATTGATGATGTTTAGATGGGCAAATGTCATTCTATCCCTTTTCCGGTGATTTGATTTAAAGATCATGTTAAGACATTAAGTTAAAATTTCGCAAAAATTAGAAAAAAAATCCTTTAAAAATTCCTGATCTCACAGTAGTAAATACACTACAAAATTTACTAGCTTCTTTATTTTCTTCTAAAATTTCTTAGCATACATAACTTTTGTGCAAATATTTTCAGAGTTAATTTGCATGCAGAAATGAATATGTAAGTTGACATTTAATCAAATAGTTTTTTGTTTTTTACTTTTACCCACCTGTAAGAATTCTTTATAGTTAAACACTATTTTATTTGATAGCAATGGCATCAGTCCTCCCAAATTTAATTTAATTTATAATAATCTTTTTATTAACAACATAAAATTAAAGAAATAATCAGAAATCAATAAAAGAATTTCAACCTAAAGTTATTTTTTCAGTTGTTACTTGATTGTTAGACAGGTGCCTTAAGGGAACTGTGTAACCTCAGATTTTTAAATGTTTAAGGAAGCACAAGGTTGAATACACAAGGTTGAAACTGAGTGAAGTGAATGCATCACCCAGTTTCAAACAAATTAAAATATCTTGTTGGAGTATCTATATGTTCTGTAACAGGCAGGATACTCTGTCATGCACAAGAGATCTCTAATAAGCAGAATAAATAGGAAAATCCCAAGTAATAAGTAGTCAGTTTTAGCCAGCATAATAGCTTGAAAAGTTGAAACAGGAGTAAAGAGAAATCACATCACTTTTATAAAACTAACACTACGTGTAGTAGTAGCCAAGACAGAAATTCACTGAGAACCTGGTAAAATTGAGTACTTAAGGACAAGCAAACTCATACTGCTTGAGTCCTATACATGTCTCACATAATGTACAATGTTTACTGTCCACTAAAGATGAGAATAAACTTTTCTGGGAATCATTCTTTATTTACAAACTTTAAGCAGTCAACACTTCCATATTGTCCTTTCTGGAACATTGGCTACATGTTTGCAAGCTTTTGTTCATGCTAGATGTAGCCAAGCCATTCACCACATATAGAACATAAATGGTGAAAATTATTAAGTATTCTCTGCACCTGTGTACACATGCAACATTTCATTTAGGCCTTTCATTATTTTTATTCCTATTTTTGTCTTTTTATGTAGTTATTTTTTAATTAATTTCCTGCTATTACCAATGTATCTGTAAAAAAAATGTTCCATTAAAATCTGTAAAAAGCTTTGTTCCATTTTTTTGTTCCCGAATAAGGTGGCAATGCAACAAGTGAAAGTGCTTGAATTAAATCTTTATTTTTTTTCACTTTTTCCCCCACTTCTTGTGTCTTAGTTTTTAATTCCTGATTCAAAATATCAATTTTATTTAATGATTGTGGTGTATGTCTCCACTAATTTTCTTAAAATACTAAAACAGACAAATTGTAATATCTTGAACATTACATAAATTAAGTTCATCTAAAAAACTCATTATAGACTGCATTTCTTACTAACTAAACACACTCAAGAATACCTTTTAAATATGCAGCCATATTTATTAAATTCTAACGTTTTCATTCATATTTAATGACCTTTATCAAGAATAAACGGAAAAAACAGAAAAAAATTGAACTCCAAACTCTGAAAAAAAGCCAAAAAAGATTAGCTATCAACTTCCAAGATGCAAGCAAAATATCGGCAGCATGGTGATCAAGCATATTATAAGCATCAAGAATGGTGGCAAAGCAGCAACTTATGTAAGGGCAGAACCCTTAAGTTAACGTATTTGCACAACACATTACATTTGGTACTTTATGTCTGTCTGTATTTTTATTGTTATTTTATATCTTGAACATCATATATTTTAACATTCTAATAGCTACTGTTGTTATATAATGACAGCCTTTACGTAGAGATGGCGCTCTTTATTCCCGTATAATATCCTTTTAAAAAACGTTCCAAAATGCCTGTATCGTTTATTCAATTTTTGTCAGAGTTTGGAGTTCGATTTTTTCTGTTTATTCTTGATAAAGATCATTAAATATGACCGAAAACATTAGAATTTAATAAATATGCCTGCATATTTAAAAAGGTATTCTTGAGTGTGTTTAGTTAAGTTCATCTATTCTCACCTTAGTTAATGTACAATTTTTTTGGTTAATCATTTACAGCCTAGTAAAAAAAAACTAATATTTTGAGTTACTGTATGCAATCTCATGTAGACCTTAAAAATACTGTAATATTGCAATATAAAGTGGTTTCAATATATAAAAGCTATGTATTTGTGGCACGATATACTACTGCTAGTGTCTGAAAAAGATTGTTTGCATATTATAACTAAGACTGTTACAATGTTTATAGAATATTTTAGAAAAATTTTCAGAAGTATTATACAAACCTGCAAATCAGTTAGTTTTAATTCCCCATAAGTATAATGTGAAAAGTCTTTCTTTTTCAAAAATGTAACTTTGAGACTGACATCATTTAAAATCATATCATCATCTCCCCCATTGCAACTTCCAAGAGGCCAGTACTGATGACATTTTACCTGAAATCATATTTATAAGTATATTAAGTGGGAACATTGAAAAGAAAATTCTAGGCATTAAATTTTTTACTTAAAATAAATTCTTACTGTATTTTTTTCTATAATCCTATTGAGCATTAAAACAGCTTTGGATTTTTGTTCCCAAACCATTAACCAGAAATGACCAGCAGTAACTGGCAAAGGACCCTGAAAAAAATATAGTTTTATATAATTAAGATAATAAAATTATTATTATTTTTTAACTTTTAAGTAACAAATTACTTACTTGAGTTAAAATGTAGGCACGTTTAGCAGCTGGGAGTGCAACAAGGCTAGCATTAATATAGTCTTTGTCCCCTCGTTCCAATCGCACACGACTGTGATCATCTATTAATACGTAACAGATTAAAGTGTCAATTTATTTAAAGAAAACTGTTTTAATGATATTCAAGAGCATTAAATTTTCAAAAAAATATTTGAAGGTGATCAACTCAATTTTTTTTTAAATTCAAAAATCACTAAAAAATGTTTTAAATGGCAAATAATGGATTGTTTTGAATTATAAAAAATTCAGAACATAATATAGAAACCAAAACAGTACAAAATTTAAGATAAACACTTACATGGGTTGACATCTCTGTAGCGATTTAAATTTTTGTTTTCTATTTTCTTGGCATCTTTATAAGAATAATCATAAATGCTGGACTGATACCTAATTTGCTGAAATTAAAATTATTATTTTATTAAATTCAAAAGTTTAATTTTTTCACACTTAAATCTATTTATAACACANAACTCATTCAGATTTAATTATTAGCACTGATAAAATACAGTAGAGCAGTGTTTTTCAACCTTCTTGAATATGCAGCCCCTTTACAAGTTAAAAAATTCTGGTGACCCCCCAAGGTCATATTAAAACTATATCAGTGATTTTAAAAACTATGTTTTTTATTTTTTTCTGTTGAGATCTAAATACTGATTGAAAAACCAATTGTACTGTGAAATAAACAGGCCCAGACTTCTCAACGAAATTGTAGTTTTTTTTATTGTAGTGTAGGACCTACAAACACTTGTCTTTTTCTTTTACCCACGACCCCCCTTGTAAGGCTTTGTGACCCCTCTGGGGGTAGCAACCTACAGGTTGAAGAACACTGCAGTAGAGCATCAATTATCCAAAACAATTTGGGANTAATTCTTTTTAAAGGGTGATTTAAAAGGCAGATTTAATTATTAGCACTGATAAAATACAGTAGAGCAGTGTTTTTCAACCTTCTTGAATATGCAGCCCTTTTACAAGTTAAAAAATTCTGGTGATCCCCAAGGCCATATTAAAACTATATCAGTGATTTTAAAAACTGTTTTTTATTTTTTTTCTGTTGAGATCTAAATACTGATTGAAAAACCAATTGTACTGTGAAATAAACAGGCCCAGACTTCTCAACAAAATTGTAGTTTTTTTTATTGTAGTGTAGGACCTACAAACACTTGTCTTTTTCTTTTACCCACGACCCCCCTTGTAAGGCTTTGTGACCCCTCTGGGGGTAGCAACCTACAGGTTGAAAAACACTGCAGTAGAGCATCAATTATCCAAAACAATTTGGGACTGGGGTTGTTCGGATAACTGATCATGTACAAAAAAAATATATTAAACACAAAACTGTACTGTATATATTTTCTATCATATGTCTTACAAATACATAGCTTACATAAAGTAGTACATTAAAGCAGGCCTACAGTTTAGGTTGGCTGGGAGGGGGAGAGTGCTGTAGTGCTACAGCACTAGCAGAAATTAGAATTTGCCGACTGGAATGTTTCGATATTCGGATAATCGATGCTCTACTGTAATATATTTCTAATTTATAAATATGCAATATTAAAAAAATTGGACCAACTTTGTAAAATAAATACAAATTTAATTTGAACTGTAAAATCTGAGATCATAAAACTATATATATATGTTTTATATTTTTTTGTTTAAATAAAAATACATCAAAGCAATTCATTGTTAAATAAAATTTTTCAGATTTTTATCTATTATTATTAAAACTTTATCCCATATTTAAAATACACATTTTTAAAAATAATTAACTATTGTTTCTCAAAGCAAGGTTAAATATTTTTTTCTTTTCTTTAGAATTGTTTTTAAAATACCTATTGTATGCATTTTTAATTGTAAAAATTTTAATTAAAAATTCTTAATTATCATTCATATATTTAAGATTTAAAAAATGCAATTAATTTTCATATCTAAAAATTTTATACATTAAGAAATTCATATGATCAATTTAGATGAAAAATATAACTTATACCCAATAATAACAAACTATTTAAAAAAGAATAAAAATTATTAATTAAGCTGTTATTTCAAATTCCCACAAATAATTCTCATATAATGAAATTTCCTCCTAAAAAAAAAGTGTATTATACGTAGTACGATCCAAAAGTTTGGGGACTTGGCTTAAAATTCTTTACCTTAAAAAGTTTATATTGCCAATGCACAACCACCCCCAAAGTAAATCACCTTGAGCAATGATACACTTTTGCCAACACTCATATAACTTCTGGAAGCACTGCTGGAAGCCATTTTTTGAAACCTCCCATAAGGCCTCCTGCAATGCTGCTCTCATCTCATCTGATGACACAAAATGGCAAATGCTTTTTCATTGATGGAAACAAATAAAAATCACATGGGGCTAAGTCCGGTGAATAGGCAGGGTATGGAAGCACATTAATTTGAGTTTTGGTGAGAAACTGTGTGACCATTTGGGACCAATGTGCAGGTGCGTTGTCATGCAGACGGTACCAGTCTCCACTTTGCCAGATCTGTAGCCATTTACAACGAATGAATTCCCTCAAATGACATAAAATGTCTAGATAATGCTCCTTATTTACTGTTCTGCCTTCGAGTATAAATTCTGAATGAACAATTCTTTCAGAATCAAAAACACCTCCATCATGACTTTCCCTTTGCTCGGTGAATGTTAAGATCTTCCGTTAAAATATGCTGGCAACTAGTCTTTGATAAATGAGTAGCCGCAGCAATTTTTTCAAGGGTTTGGCGACGATCATGAGAACACATTGAGAGATCAACTCAACATTTTCCTCATTCTGTGAAGTCGAAGGTCGGTCAGAGCGTTCATCTGCAATGGATTCTCGGCCCTCTTTAAAACACCGATGCCATTTATACACCTTTGATTTCGCCATGGTAAAATCACCATGAACCTTTCTTAGCAATTTTAAAGTCTCCGTAGGTGTTTTACCTAAACGCTGACAAAATTTAATGTTGCAGAGCTGTTCTTGAAACTCCAATTTTATTATGTCACAAAACAAAGGTAACTATCTCCAAAAGAAAACAACAGTACTTGCAGTTTAATCATGTGACATGGACAAAACCAACCTGAACATGTAGGAATGATTTGATAGAATCCATTTCATACGCTGTAACTTCAAACACATGCTTTTGTTGTCATACATTACTGCAGTCCCCGAACTTTTGGATCGTACCACGTATAAAGCTAAAGCTGGCTTCACTCACATAAAACATTTAAGTAGAAGAAAAGAATTTACATCAAAAATTATTATAAACTGCAACACAGATACACACTGCATTGCAAAGCAACTCAAAAGGCAAGTCTAGACAGATGATGATCAGACAGCAGAATCCCTTGTTTGAAAAATGTTGAATTATTCTAAACTGTTAATAGTTTTAAAGGTTTAAAAAAAATAAATAAATAAATTCAAAATCAAATATATTGCAAAAACTTTCATTTAATTCCTGACGTTATTGAGGATACCTTGAAAACAGCCAAACAGATAATTGAACTAAGCAATCTTGAAAATGTTAATAAGTTATTCAACATTTAAAGGTTAAGAGTTACAAATTGAATTTTTGGTTTTCAACAAAAAGAAAAAAAACATCCTCACATATTCTTTATTATTGTTGATGTATTTACTCACATATGTGAGTAAATATGTTAATCAAAATAAAGATGTGACTTTAAAGATTGAAATAAAAGAAAAAATTGGAATTGTAGTAATAAATCTAATTATTTCGTTTAATCACAAATAAAATATTATCAAATGCACATATTAAGGCAAACAACCATGTTTGCCTTAATATGTGATGAATGGAAAACAAAACCAAAACACTATAATGTGCATGACCAGAAAAAGTTTATTTTTAATGATTCAGAATGTGCTAATGATCCATTAAAAATAACAATTTAACATATATGAAATAGCTACATTTATAATCATTGCCAAGTGACCTGTATTTCATTAATGCTTTTATAAGTAACAAGGAACTATTTTCTGCAGACANTGACCAGAAAAAGTTTATTTTTAATGATTCAGAATGTGCTAATGATCCATTAAAAATAACAATTTAACATATATGAAATAGCTACATTTATAATCGTTGCTAAGTGACCTGTATTTCATTAATGCTTTTATAAGTAACAAGGAACTATTTTCTGCAGACAGATGAGATGCAACATGGTTTTTAATTGATGGATGTAGGATTAAACCAATAAACAAAGGGAGATGTCTTAATTTGTTTACAGTAGGTGCCAACTTACAATAGACTTTAGACCTATAATGGCAGCATAAACTATACATGGTTCACAGAAATTATTACAAAAATGCAAAGAATCCTCCGCTCACATATTTAGGACAACCTAGGTTTTTGAAGCAGTAAAAAATAAATGAAAACCTCGTCTTATACATGAGTAAATATGATAATTTATATAAATTTTATCTTAAAAATATTTTAATGTGAATTTTTGAATATCATATACAGTNTGACCAGAAAAAGTTTATTTTTAATGATTCAGAATGTGCTAATGATCCATTAAAAATAACAATTTAACATATATGAAATAGCTACATTTATAATCATTGCCAAGTGACCTGTATTTCATTAATGCTTTTATAAGTAACAAGGAACTATTTTCTGCAGACATATGAGATGCAACATGGTTTTTAATTGATGGATGTAGGATTAAACCAATAAACAAAGGGGGGGTGTCTTAATTTTTTTACAGTAGGTGCCAACTTACAATAGACTGTAGACCTATAATGGCAGCATAAACTATACATGGTTCACAGAAATTATTGCAAAAATGCAAAGAATCCTTCGCTCACATATTTAGGACAACCTAGGTTTTTGAAGCAGTGAAAAATAAATGAAAACCTTGTCTTATACATGAGTAAATATGATAATTTATATAAATTTTATCTTAAAAATACAGTAGAACCTCGAAAACTCGGCTCTCGATAACCCGGCACTCCGGATAACTCGTCCACACCCTGGCAGGGCAAAAAAATCCTTAGTTAATTAATTTTCATTATAGACAGCTTTATAAAAGTATAAAAGCTCTCATAAAGTATTTTTCTGAGGTCTGTCTTATCAGGTAAATTACTGTACACAGTGTATTCATTAATTTTCATTTTCATGTAGTAAAGGCTCTATGCCTTCATAAAGGACGTACTTT